GATTTGCACTACAATAGCCTACTTGACTAACATTGATGTGTGCAAAACTCACCATCATTACTAGTCTCTTTGTTTGCTTATATCACAGTTTGATATATGAACTATTCTAAAAAAATAATACTAATTTATGTGAGATTCATTTATGTTATAATATATGTATATAACAAAATATAGCTAGTTCCCCGTGTTGTGACTTGTGAGTAAGAGTTTACACTCAAAAGATGCTTTCATATTGGTTATGTACTGCTTCATAGTTGTATTGTACTTCTTTCATTTAATGATAAGTATCTTCTTAGGTTATGTTATACATATCGAAGAAAATTAATAAATAGATAAAGAATAACAATAATTTTACAAAGTTAACCTAATGTAATACAAAAATCTCTTTCTACATGATATTATTAAGGTATAGATAAAAAATAAGTAACGAAAACTGCATCAAAAATTAATATAACACTTATTTTAAAATATTTTATTTTCTAATATGACATTTATTATGAGACAGAGCATATCATGTAAATATATATTTTTTAAAAAAATAAGATTAAGTTTTTAACACCCTAATAAAGTGCTTGGAAGTTTGTGTCCCTTTCTAATTCAATTCACGCTTCACTATTCCACATGCCACGATGAATGGAGAAAGCGATGTTTGTGTTTATTAATCAACACTATTATTGTGCTCAAAGCTAGTTCTGTATGTAATATGTATGTAGTGACAAAGTAAAGTACTTGTTTTGGGAGTATTTTAAAGCGAAAATCCAAATCCGAACCATGCAAAAACTATTTTACTGGTAGATGGTTTTACGGGTAGTATTGGGCTTGCAAGTAGGCCCTCAACCCATGATGCAGTGCTTATGGCCCACACGCTCATCATTACATATATTTTTTTAGAGTGGTCTACTGATAGAAATCTTCTGTAGGGTTTCTTCACTTTCTTGGCTAAAAGTATTTTCATAGGATGAAGTTTAACATACACAATAAAATATAAGTGGCTGTAAGAGGGGTCTCTCTGATATAATTGAACTATTGAAGAAAACAAGAAGATGAAATAGGATAAAAAAAAATAAAAATAGAAAGAATTGTCATTTTTCTTGTGTGATCTCAATTATTGAAAAACCTGTAAATAAATATTAATTTCTTTATTTCATTATAGATAAAGTTATTTTCAAAATATAATTGACAAGTTCAAAATTATGAGACGTAGTATTCAAAATATTTTATTTTTCCTCGATCTCTACTTAGTGCAATTTTTATGATCCTACTTAGTGCATGTATACATATGTCAACCAAAATTAAAATGAAAAATTCTTAAAGTGCGCGTGCGCACGCATATAAATATATATAT